TTTTTTTTTTTTAATGATTACATACATCTTTGTTTTTTTCTTTTCTTTTTTTAACATTTAAGAAAAAAAAAAAAAAAAAATTAATGATAAAAGAGGGTTTCTAATTTAATTATCTACTCTATTATTAAATGTTTTACTAATTCTCAGAAATATATATAAATATATAAATTTTTTTTTTTTTTATTTTTTTTTGCATTTTTAATAATAATTAATTCTCAAATGGATATATTAAAAAGTCACAAAATATTGTAACAAAAAGTAGTTTTTTTTTTTTTTTTTTATTTATATAGATTTTAATTTTTTTTTTTTTTAATGATTATATGTTGTAAAAAAAAAAAAAAAAAAATATAGAATAAGAAAAAATTAAGTTTTGATAATAAATAAAAATGTTTATCATAAGTTGGTTAGTTATATTTAATAAAAAAATAAAATAAAGACAATATATTTTTCTTTATTTTTCATTTTACAGAAATGTGTATATATCTTTATATTTTTATTAGTTTTATATTAATAAAAATTTGAAATAATTTTACATTTATATAAATTTAGGTTTAAAGATATTTTAGCACATTTAGGATTATCTCAAAAAAGCGCAAGAATATTATTTTTAGGTAAATATTTTGGACATATAAAAAAAAAAAAAAAGTGAATAAAATTAAAAAATAAAACAATAATAAATATATATATTTAGGTAGTCTTTTTTTTAATATATATTTAAAATACAATAATAGCAAATGATTAAAATATCAATATATATATATTTTTTATTTTTTTTATTTTTTTTTTTTTTTTTTACAGGTTTAGATAATGCAGGAAAAACAACATTATTACATATGTTAAAAGATGACAGAGTAGCACAACATGTTCCTACTTTGCATCCTCATTCAGAAGAGTTAGTTGTTGGAAAAATTAGATTTAAAACTTTTGATTTAGGTGGACATGAAACCGCTAGAAGAATATGGAAAGATTATTTTGCAGCTGTTGATGCTGTTGTATTTATGATTGATACAACTGATAGATCTAGATTTAATGAAGCTAGAGAAGAATTAAAACAATTATTAGAAACAGAAGAATTAAGTAATGTTCCTTTTGTTATTTTAGGAAATAAGATTGATAAACCAGATGCAGCTAGTGAAGATGAATTAAGACAACATTTAAATTTATTTTCTAATATGACTATGGGAAATAATGTGAAAGGTAATTCAGGAGTTAGACCAGTTGAATTATTTATGTGTAGTGTTATCAGAAGAATGGGTTATGCAGCTGCATTCAAATGGATATCACAATTTTTAACCTAATTTTATATACATTTATATTTATATATATATATATATATATATATATATATACATTTATATTTATATATATATATATTTATATTTATATTTATATTTATATTTATATATATTATATGCATTTTTTAAGACTAATATATATTTCACATAATTGTCATGATATATTAATAATCCTATAAAAAAAAAAAAAAAAAAAAAAAAAAAAAATATATATATATATATATATATATATAAAGATAAAAATATATTTTGAAAACAAATTAATTCTATACTTATTTTCGTACCAAAAATTTTTAATTGTCTATTAAAAAAAGAAAAATTCATTTATATATATCTATTATCTATATCTATAAATCTATATATACAGAGATAAATTTATTTATAATTTTTGGTTACACATATATAAAAAGAACAAAATAAGATAACACACTTTTGAATTGAATTAATTTTAAACATTCATTTTTAACAAATATAAAAGTTTTTAAGTTTACCATTGTGTAAATATAATTAAAAAAAAAAAAAAAAATAAGATAAATATTTTCTGATTTTGAAAAATAATTGATAAATTACATAAGTTATTATTATTATTTATTTTTTTTTTTTTTTTAATGAAAGTGTGATAAAATATTAAAAAAAAAATAAAAGTGAAATATAAAAAAAAAAAAAAAAAAAAAAAAAAAAAAAAAAAAAAAAAAAAAAAAAAAAT